ATTTAAAATAATTAAAATTGTTTTAAAAAAATTCAATTTTTATAAATATAAAAATATTGTTAGAATTAATTAGTAGTTTTGACATATTTTTTTAAATAAGTTCTTTATAAATTATATATATATATTAATAATTAATTTTTTGAAAATATCAATTAAAATAATTAAAAACAATCAAACACTTTTAAATTAAACTTGCAAAAATCTCTCTCAACACAAAAATCAATAACAACAGTTGACTTATCTACATTAGTTACAGATGTCTATATTCAAAATTACTTTAATTTTTTTAAATGTATTATCAAACCAATCTAAATTATATCAATCTTATTTTCTTCAATACTGAATAGGTAGACATAACTTCTTGGTACCTCTTGACAAGATATATTGTTTTAAAATTTATTTTCAATATTAGTTATTTGGTTTTTGTAGACAAACTAGTATTAAACTCATTATACTCACTTATAAGAAATGTTGTTTCTTTTATTATGTATATTTTTAATATACAAATTAAATAAAAAAATAATGTTTACCTATTAAAAAAAAAAAAATTAATTAAAAAAAAATTGAAACTATATTTAAGTAATTGAATATTTGTTCATATTTAAAAAGTATAAGATTAGTTAATTTGAAATAAGTAATAAAAAAATCTTGTTAATAATATAGTAGAGTTTCAAACCAATATTAAAATAGTATTTAAATGGTATTGACTTATAATAAATTTAATATATAAATTATAATTTACCATATTAAACTCATAGTAAATTTAATTAATAATTTTTGTTAAAAGTGATAGTAATTTGAAAGAGTTTTTTTTTAATAAAAAGTAATTTTGTATAAATATCAACATGTATAATATATTTAAGAAATTTAATTTTAATTTAATTTATATTTTTATTAAGTTACATAACCTGGCATATTCTATTTAAACAATATATTAGTTTAAATTTTTTTCTAATATACTGTAATTTAGATAGCTACTTTAATAAATTACCATTTGATTTAATTTAAGATATAAATTCTTTTACAAATATATCTTTATATATATGTATTTAAATAATAATAATAATAAGGCTAAAGATTTATTGAATATTTTATATATAAGGAACCAATTTAATTTACAATTTATGCAAGGTCATTATGATTATAAGCAAGTGAATATTTAAATTTATTATATATAGTATCTGTATTAAAAATCATATTTTTTCAAAATATATAATTTTATGTATTAAAAAAACAAATTTGGTTATTCTTCTCAGAAAAATGATATTTAAAAAATATATTTTTTTCATTTTCAAATCGGTCTTTAACAATAATACTAATATATCGTGATATTATTAAACCTTCTCGATTAACTTTATTTTTTTATTTTTTTCTTTGATACTTAACGCATATTTTCATCAAATGAATTGTTATATGTAATATCACGTACGATAATTTAATTGCATAAAGATTTGACAAGAATCTACACATATACAACAGTATATATAAACCTTTTTGGAAATACAGTATATAAAATTTGTTGTTATGTTTATGGATTATTATATATTTAAAAAATATAATTGAAAATGGATACATAACTTTGTGATAATATTTTTGTTAAGAGAGGTTCACAGATTATTTTTAAAAATCGCAAATTCATATACAATATACTTTTTTTATGAATAACTTTTCGCATTAAAATTTTCTTATCAAGCACACATGGCATTATTTATCTATAGCTTTAATTATTGTCAAATACCATGATAGCAAATGCTTAAATGCTATAAAATATGACATCCAATAATTTTATAACGGAATAAAAGCACTTTTTCTTACAGATATTGCATTACAAAGTGTCCATCTGAAGATGCCCTTTGGACAAATAAATTTACAGATATATTATTATTATTTCAATATCCTTAAATTCAACATACTCAAAGATTATTATTGTATTTATTTATTTAATCTGATTCACAAAAACGTCAGAGTCGGTGTATTGTGATTATCATGCGAGCTATCAAGACATCTATCATTCGCAACGTTCCGATGTCTTAAATTTAGCTTCTTTTACATCCGAAGAAAGCATGAATCCACTAAAGCACCAACCAGAACCGTAGTTCATGGTAAACAAAATATCAAGATTTTGGTCAAAGAAGATGATGGCGCAAAATCGGGTATGTAGATCATATCATAGCTCATTTCCTAATATGTCTTGAATGGGTTTTTCAAGCTATATACATTTCAGGTTAATCCGAGCACTTGACTATAAACATTGAAAACGAGTATAAATGTGTACCTAGAAACTTGTTTAAGCCTGGAGGTTCATTGAAGCTAATTTGCGGTAATTGGCGTATGGTAAATTGTACAATGATGACTGTTTTCAAGGAAGCCCGATAAATCGAAAAAAAAGCAAATTGTGCAATGAGTAAACACGTACTGTATTTTATGGGCGTTGCTTCATTAACAAAATTTTTTATTTGTTTATTTTCAACAAAATGGGAGGGAACCATATGACTGTTGCGCTTCAGATGCCCAAGTACCCTTCCAGGGTTCATTTCAGTTCTCAGTGTAAAATTGTGGGGGTTGGAGATTTTTTTATTTATTTTGTTTCATGACAGCATAAGATTTTGTGTCATTTGTTGATATTTACCTTTTGAGTAATTTTACGCGTATTCTTCCGTCCCATATTTATTTTCTTTTCTCGATTTCCAAATATGTCATCGGTGCCGTAATTATGTGCGCGTTTTTCTGATGTGTTCGATTTCCAGGGTAGAGTGAAACAAAAAAGTTTGATCGACGAGAAGGACTGAAACAGAGAGTAAAAAATAAAATAAAATGAAGTCAAACACTATTCACCAAAAATTTTAACGTGATTTGTATCATGTGAACAATTCAATTTATGCACTTTATCAATGACTCTACAGTGCTATTTTTAAATTAACTCAGCTAACCCCAAGCTAACCATTCGTGGTAATTTGAAGTATAACTTTATTTGTTGTGAGATAGCACATAATGTACATCTTGACTAATGCTAATATTTGTTTTTTTCCCAAGTTATTGCGATCTTATCATTACCACAATTTCACCTACATGACGAGTAAAGACCGCGTGCTTATTAAATAAGGAATCTGATCCTCATTTGTACAGTGCCGCTAATATTGAGTTTTTTTTTTTTTATTTATTTATTTATTTTATTATTTTATTTTATTTCGAGATATCACATACCAGAGCTTTTAAGTAACAAGCCTTCATTGTATACATTCAAACCCGGGTTGAAAGTTCCTCGTGGTTATTATAACAAACATGCCAACATCAATCGCGATTTCTTTTCTTTTTGACGGATTACACGTGCTTCTTACATGAAGGTCACATGAATTATAGTTTTCCACGATGAGTACATTATATATGACCCACAGTGTGGATGAGTGTGGGTAGGCATGGTGGTTGACTGGTCATCTTTTGCGGATGTCAGATGCCAGATGAAAATATTTCAATTCATTCTCGAGGAAAATCATGAACATTGTACCCCGAGATTATTAGTTATTTATCTCACGAACCCTTCATCTCGGAAACTAATTAATACTATATTCCGAGATGACGAATACACTCGTTCTACGATGGTAAACCTGAAACACTCGGGAATTTCACGTCCCGACATATGCATAAGGACTGCCTTTTTTGGTTTATTTATTTATTGTTTTTTTTCTTGAAACATAATCATTGTTTAGGGGGAATTTTCATTCCCATAATGGGATGTACGTGCATGATGTTTGACCAAATATGTTAGCTATAATTAACAATATCTAATTATATATGTAGTTTATTTATTATTAGAACTATGCGATCGTCATTACCCAAATCATTAAGTTTACGGTGATGAACGGATAGAAGTCGTATCGCGCCTAACTCTGAGCTCGCTTCAAAGTGTGAATGGACAGGTTTCACGTAAAAAGGATTACCACTTGCCCAGATGTTTCTTGTGATTTTATGACAATAATTGAAACAACATGTAATATTACAAGTTTCGAGATTTTAGGTCACAGTACGTGGACGGTTTAGTAACCTTCAAACATTCGTCAATGGCATTGCGGAACGGCCATATGCAAGATAATTCAGGGTTGAACACTGGTTTTGATCAATCACTCATTTGGACGCTATTAACACATTTAAGATAATGAATATGACCAAAACCAATAGTACGGCAGCAAATAAAATATTTATGCGATAATACATAATTTCACCTTGAGGCAGACCCTATGTTTGACCTTCAGTGATCTTGTTTGGCGTCACGAATTAATTTGGTCCTTGGGCACTTCAATTTAACGAATTCCTTTTATGCACAATGATATTCGGATTTTTTTTGGAATTTCATGCGCGTTCACATAAGAATCTGGGAATTGAATGCTACACAGAAGGAGAATTACGTTCATTACCGTGAAATGTAATATCACCTCAAATAATTACATGAATTAATTAGTTAAGGTGAGAATACCATATGATAATATATGTTATCAGATCTTTAATTATGTATTGTTGATTTTTGTCTAAATATTGTTTGAATAACCTAATTGGGTGTACTGTGGGCACCCCCGTTTTATGCTGTCTCCGAGTCATTTCCCTGAGTTCAAGTTTATCCCTGCATATAATGATGTGTGTATTTTTTTCTATTCGGTGTGAGGAAGCAAACAATGGAACAATAGTTACGCCTGTCGAATTTGGAAATCGATGATGACTTCAAAAGGAAATTATTTATGAATGTGACGAACGGAGCAATCCTTTGCAGATTATTATTTAACCCGTTAAACTTAAACCCCAGCTATTCAAGGTATTCTAATGGGAAAGGTGAAATGGGAAATTAAATGAAAAATGAAAAATGGGAAAAGGGAAATAGGAAATTTGGAAACAAGCATCGTCAGAGCATGCGTACGCCGTCGATGAAGAGATGGAATTTTCGGTGTACATGATGTGACAGAGACATTATTCAATTCAATCATGAAAAAAAGTTTCATCTGAAAATCCCGCTAAGCTTCATTTGGTGCCTTCATGAGCTCGGGATATCCGACACTCCGGAAAGCGAACCAAAAACGTTTTGGTATTGTTGTGCCCTTGTTTTAATGTCTTCAACTTGCATTCGTGGAATTGTTTAAAAAAAAACCTGTAACACGGAGTCAAGAAGTTGATGGATTTTGAAATGAATTTCGTACGCACCTTCTCCTGTCTCAGCAACCCAGAAATCGGAAACTGGGATACCATTATGGTGCGAAATTCGTCATCTCACTCTGGATAAAAACAATCAAAATTGTAAAATCGAGGACAATAAAAATTTTGGGTGTGTTGATGAAAAAAATCCATGAAACGGTGTGCCAAAACATGAAACGGTCAGGGGAGGTTTTTGATATGCTTAAAGAAATAAGGTTGATTACGTCAGACCGGACCGGTGATTAGGTGTATACGCCATCAGAAGTCAAAGATGATCAGGGGAGAGGAATCGGTTGGATAGAGTTTCACACGTAATACCGTTACTGTATTTATTTCTAAAAAGATAATTATTTGGTTTGGTGACCACATATTGATGCAGTATATCATGAAAAATGTTACTAGTTTCCTAAGGCTAGTTGACGGAAATTTATTTATACCTTATATCTCAATTGTGTGGACCGTTACTGTACCACACCTCATTTGTATAATCCGCAACAGGAACAACAACCTGAAGTCATTCTTGCTTCCGCTCAAAGATAGATAAATAGACAATCTTCATGATGCCATTTGATTATCTAAAGTAAATGGTTAGCACATTTATGTAAAGTTTGTTGTGACTATTATTTATGAGATGCCAAGTACAGTACTTGTCATAAGGTTCAAATAGTACTCCCTCATTGTTATATGGAAAATAGCATATCCTGTGAACGCCGACCCTGGGCAGGGGTTATTTTTGCATGGTGAAGTGGAAGCCCATGTTTTCTTTAAAGAAATAGTTTGCACATGAAAAACAACTTCTGATATAGTGTCCACGTAGGTCACAAGCATCAACAAAAAATCATCCGCGGAAAAAAGTTTATCGCAAAAAAATTTAACCTCTCCAAAAAACCGAAGAAAATATGCGCATGCAACCATGCCGCCCGCACAAGCCAATATCACTTCACTTTACTCTTATCTTGTAAGCAAATAATAATTCATAGATTTAATAATAAGGTTGCCGTGCGATGATTGCGATGATGATCAATGAAGTTTCTTCATAGAACAGGGTAAAAAAAAATCAGCTACGGATGTACGTTTCCATTTAAACGTAGTACTATTAAAAAAAAAAAAAAAAAAAAACTTTTTATATTAAATTTATTCTTAGATTCCAAAAGTTTATTTGTTATTTGTAACCAACCGACCAACCATCTCTCGGTAAATAAATAAATGAGATGTACTGTATATACATACAGTATATTTATATACATATATTTTCTTTTACAAACAAAATAAATTCGGAGTTTTCGATTCAAAGTCCGGTAATCTTTTAACCCGGCAATGATGTACAGAAATAAACATAGTAACAGAGTACAAAGATTTTTGGGGGCACACAATCTCGTTTCCAAATGTCATGGGTCATCGACCACGTATTTTTGACCTTGACTTTTTTTTTTTACCAGGGTTCCTTTTGCACTAGGCATTCTGGGTCCTGTCGATCTAACCCCAGAAGAATTTCAAATTTCCAAAAATAATGTTTTTTCGAAACGTTTACCAAAAACCTCATTACCACCTACTTACTCTCGTATCACCATCCATGCTCTTTGGTCACATTATTTCAAAGAAAAAAATTTTTATCTTGTTCACCATAAAATCTGTCAGGGTACGTACATTCAACGGAAAAAGAATGCAGCAAACATGATACCATTATGAAGCGGAGATCTGAAACAGACATTGTCGCTCATCAGCTGATCCTCTTTCTTAGTCGCATCCCGATTTCTTCTGGGGTTCGAGGAATTTGAAACAATGGACAGAATAGATGCGGCGAAGAAAGAACACACCATTACAAATTTGGAATGTACAATTGTCGAACTTTGGATTTTCACACTGGTCATAGGTTAACGCGTTTTATTTTTAGAATGAGACTTGATAACCTTCGATAAGGTTTTCAGTGGTAATAATAGCATATCCGGGCATAATGCTTTGAATTCTGCGCATTCTTCCCTGTGGCTTGGCTCACGTAGAACCTGAAAATTAATGAGTACGGTCGCAATGTCGGAGCAGGTGGGCATGACTTTTCAGGTCCTTCTATCATATTTAACATTTGAATGTTGGGTTTAACGAATATTCCGATCATTCGTTTTTTTTTTTTTTTTAGAGCACATTAAGCAAATAAAGATATCCCTACGAGTTTGTGTGTTCTTTCTTAGGAAAAACTAACCCTAAAAGTAATTAATGTCAAAGATAGACAGGAACATTTTTTTAGTTATCTTTCAATCGACAAACGCAAGGATCCAAATTAGGTTTTTTCTTATATCATGTTTTTTTTTTTTCTCAAAATGATGTGTTCTAAACTTATTATTATTTTTTTTTTCTGGACGTTAACTCAGGTTCAGCTCGGTTCGATTTGACCCAAAAAAGTCAACGGCGTATACTTCACAAATATATTAGGGTTCTTACTTAGTAAACCTGAGTGAGATCTGTGCCCAACAAAAAAATTATCGCTCAACTTAAATAGGAATAGGTTTCACCACCCCTTGTAAATTGCCGTATATACATGTACATCCGAACTACCCTCATTGAAATCACTTTTCCCGCTCAAAAATTTAAATTAGGTCCTTGATACTGTCAAAATATACTACCATCATTCAATTTACGTCGTACACTACATTTAGATTAATCAAGTATATACTAAGGGAAACTAATAAACACTTTGACTAATAATTTCTTAGTCATATTAACTCCGTATATGGATGGAATGTTGGGATGCGGCAAAACTTTATCCAATAATTGTTTTTCTGAGTCCTGTCAATGGTCAGTAGTGGCGAGTCAAACATGAGATCCAAAATACCTCACCGAAGGGTGTTTCTTTTGCCCGCAGAAATGTTTGCCGTTGAGAAATTTCAATGTTAACTATGCTTGATGTGAGCTCGCACCATTTCCTTTTATGCTGTCCCACAACTTTTTGACCGGTATGTTTCTCGTTAGCATTTTTCTTTCCTATTTCTCCCACCCATTTTTTTTTTTGACCACCATCACATCTGGCTTGTTGAAATGCACGCAACTGACTCACCTTGTACGTGCGTACATTGGCGCCATGGAAATCCTTCACCATTTATGAATGGTCATCTCAATTACGGAGCCCGGATGAACATAGAAGCCGGCAAAATTATCGGCCAATTAAGGTGGCAAAACACGAGTGCATTCAGGACAGGATAGGAAAAGCGATTCACGTTGGTTACTTGTTTACAGATCGAAAACTTCGGAAGCTTCAATAAAACATTATGTTTTGCATTCTTTTTTTCCCTTTGTCTCACGTATTACCTTTGACACGCATCAATTGGCTTTCGTGAGAATTCTACACATTAATCAACATTAGAAGTAGTAAAATCGATATCATGCAAGATTGGATTTTTTCAGAGATACGAGTTTTCCGGTCAATCGGTCGAAATCACAGTATTGGGGCAGTAGACCGATGCACAACAGATGCACAGAATGAAGTCAACAAAAAGACATCTTTGACGAATGATCATCAGATAATAAGGCAATGTGTTATCGGAAGGTTCATCGGAAGCGGAGGGCGAATCATTACACAAGGTAGGGTTGATCTTGAATTTCATGAGAATGAGAAATGGAATCAAGAACATTTATTACGTAACGATGACCATCCTTACGCAATATTTTTTGGTAATTTACTCTCGACCTTTTATTGGTCACATAAATTCAATCATCATTGGATGTTCTATCACGATTTCTTATCCTATAGTTCGTTATCTTAGACTCACCTAAATATAAATAGGGCGTACAAATATTTTTAAGAAGTACATGCAATCTTAAATTTTAATTAAAAACATTTATGTATGAAAATTTTATATTTGATCAAATGATTAAATATTTTTCAAAGATTCAAATTTCGAATTTATTTTTATTCTATTGCATTGTATAATATAACTTGGATGTGATACGCGCGTTTGCAATATTTTATTAGACAGTGCATTGATTTATTTAATTTTAATAAAATTTGTCTTTTTCTAAAATTAAAACACAATTTACAATTCTACTGTTGTACATTTACATTTTATATACCGTGATTGTTATGTTCCTGTTTAACCCCCTATCAATTTATTGATCAATTCATATTATCATCATATTATCACAAGATTAAATTTGAAAATTTTCATAAATAAATACTCAATTGGTTTTAATTGGATTTTTAAATGTCTTACAAAGTGTAAAGATATTTTAATCTTTGATCAATTAATGTTATTGAACGGTAATGACAATTCATTAATAGTATTAAATTGACTTGAATGTATTTCTTGAAATTAAATTTGTAATGTAATTAACAGTAGATTTCATAGATGGCTAGAAAGCAAAGATCAATTAAAATTCTTGCAACGCCGAGAAAGCACCATAAAACCTGGTAAATGAGGTACACAAGGAATATAGCACACAAAGACTTTATCGAAAGAAGGAAAGCTAATCCTAAAGACAAGGGGTTGCTTGTATTGCAGAAATTGAACTTTGCAAGTTTTGGTTATATAACTGAATATCGTCTCTATTTTTTGGCAGAATGAATTTACTATTTACGACAAAGCTCCTATGGCTGAATAATGATAATCTTTTTATGAAACGATTGCGTGCGAACAACGGAGCCCACGAAAATATTATTAGGATGAAGTTGCGACTTTCTAACCGAGGAAATTTTTTCTATAAGAACTTGGTTGTTTCTAAAGACACGAAATTAAATTAACAGCTAACTATGCGTCATTGTTAACAGTAAGGATCAAAGGTATTTTGAAAACAAGGAAAAATGTATTGTATTTCTTTATTTGGAGATAAAAGAATGCCCATGGAATTTGTGGGAATATGCTTAGAAATACGTATTTCCTTTAAAACATGAATCTAATGACAAAATTGTATTCAATGTAAATGTTCTTTGTCATGAAATTTCCGTCAATCATGCATCGGAATTTCTACCTATACGCGTCAGAATAAACATCCGTATCACAAAATAAAATCTTTTATTTCACCATTACTTTGGATCCATTTTTGACGCCATAACATATGAATATTTTTCTGTGTGAGTTTGAAAAAAACCTATCGCATTTCGAACAATGTTAGGCCCCTTATTATTTCCAATCATAACGTATCACTCACGAAGACTGTCCCTGAGTCAATATTTCTCCAAACGTAGCAATTTTTCTCTGAATTCATACGATTCCAAAGAAAGTCGCGTATCTCAACGATCGTTTTATTATCGGAATAATAAGGTAAAAAATCATGATGGGTCAATGGAAACAATTCTAATTACAAAGAAAATCATGTCTTTGATCTAGTGGCAATACGTTAATTATACTTACAAGCCATTTTAGGTACAGAATACGTGTTGAAAATACAACTCCAAAACGTTGTTAAGTATTGTGGGAGAAAAAGCCTTGTTGTTCACTAAACATTAGCACTAATCTGATTTGAATGATTGATTATAACATTTTAAATTTTGTATTATTAATTTCGTTACATTTTAAGTTTGTTGCCTTTTATATAATGACATTGTACATAATGTGCAACCGATATCGATAAATACGGAATCAAGGTTTTTTCATTTGACCAAAAAGAATTTGTAATACTGATCACGATCTTTTCGTGAATAAAAATTTGGCACCGAATATGCGTAATAATGATTTTTAAGGGATTTATAAAAATCAAATGAATTTTCTATTAATATTTTGGAGATGACTAATACTAGACGGGGTTTTGGGGCCGGTATGTAAAATCCGAAATTGAAAAATGCTGCTAATATTTCCATAAACAATATAACAAAGGATACGGAGAGCATGTGAGCTGTAAACTAAATTAACAAATATTTATATTTAATAAAAATTTGATTATGTTATATACTGTACGCACAGTATACATAGTGAAACCTCTCTAAGTGCACACTTCTTAAGTGTAGTACTATGTTTTTTCTTTCTAAATGTAGGATTAAGCTTGATCCCAAGCACTATATTGTAACTCCCTTTTTCTAAATACAGATTTTCTCCAAGTATAGGTTTTTAAAAAAATCTTTTGTATAGATTTCACATACCAACTTTTTTCAATTATCAAATTAGTTTTTTATTAATGAAAAAAAATATTTTTTAAAAAATATTAATTCTCAAGGTCTTATGAAATATAAAATTTATTAAAATTATTAATATAAAAATAAAAGTTTAAATAAATATTATTATCTATATTATCTATATACAGTATATAAAATAATGATATAAATATAATTTAAATGATGCTTAAATGTAATTATTAAATTATGAAAAAAAAAATTTTTCTTTTTTATTAAAATTAAGTAAAATTTTAATTTAAATAATTTTTTGATTAACTTGAAATAGTTATTTAAAATTTTTGATTAAAAAACATACAAATTATATTTAAAAATAAGATTTTGAATTATTTTTAAAATCTTAAAAATTATTTTAATTAAAGATAAATGAATATTTTATTTATTTAATTCTCAAAAATATTTTTTACTTTTTAAATCAAAAATTAATAAAAAAATTTTTAAACTTATAAAATTGTTTTTATAAAATTCATATTTATTAACAACTATATGTTTTTTTATATTTTTTGAAAAATATTACTATTAATTATATTAACAATATAATCACATCAATAATATAATCATATTAACAATATAATTACATCAAAAATACAAACAAGTCAATAATATCATTATGTCAATGTGTTAACAATATAAATATATCAATATCTTTCCAATAACAAATATGTTAACAATTTACTAACAATATAAACACATCAACAATTCATTATCACCTAAACATGTCAACAATTTAATACTATCATAAACATGTTAACAACTCATTATTACTATTAATATGTCAACAATCTGTCAAAAAAATGTAAACATATTAATACAAATATACCAATACAAACATAACAATAAATATATCTACAATTTATTATCAGTATAACATATTGGACACTCTTTCCGCTGATCTCTTGACCAACATTCCAAAACGGCGTTCAGACTAAAGCATGTCTTTATTCTTAACAAAACCTATACACTT